CTATAAACAGTTGAAAAATCAGTCAGAGAAAGAAGTCTCTATATTTTTATGCTTTCCATTTGCACATTTTTCGAACTAGTTCTTAACATATCCCAATTTTTATTTTAAGAGAGAGATTTGTTTTATAGGGCATGTGCGCTCATCAGAGAGACAGAGAGACAGAAAGCAGGAAATCATACCCAGGGGTGATGGCCATGCTGTAGTCCCTTCTCTTTCATTCTCCTCTCTGGATTTTGGACATGCATGCACACACACCCAGCATGAGTTTTAAGCCACCTGGTCCATGACTCAAACCACGGTTGACTACACGGAGTCCAGCAATGTAACCATTATACCATCTGCTGACCCCATATCCCAATTTTTTAAATCATATATTTCCACTTACATTTTTTTATTCATAAATCTAGATTTTTAGCAATTTGAAACTAAAAATATAATGGAACTTTGGTGTTTAAACATAGTATAAAACCTATTATTCACCAAGCTATTACTGCCTCTCCTCTCACTGTCAAATGGAAAATTAATGAAACAGAGTAAAGAATGTGGAAGCTATGTTTAACATAACTTCAAAATGAAGATTTTTGTTGTTCATCTCTTTTGAATGGCATCTTTATTTTTAGCCTAGGTGCTAAAATAGGGGTATGCTATTTTCAATGTCAGATTTGGGCCATGCTTCAGAAGAACATCAAAATTAGCTAAGAAGTATCATGGACACCGTGCTTAACATTATAAGAGAGTAGAAAAAGTGCATGTGTCGGAAAGGGGCTTTATTAGATTCCTTCCTGATGACAAAAGTTCCATCTACAAGCCAATGCAAATGCACAAGCAGAATTATTCTGAGGAATGAAATACCTTGTGAATAGGAGGTTTCATCATTTGAAGAGTCAGCAATAGAAAACCCTCATTTCATGGATAATAAATTAGATAAAATACAGAAAGATAAACACATACTGAATGGTAAAATCTACTTAACAATTGATTTATACTTATTTTTGCCCAAGAAAACGGGCAAAATTTCATGTGCACGAGGTTATCTGAGTTTCAGTTTTAAATAGCCTTTTTATCAGTGACTTTAGATGGAGAGATGTTGCTTCTTTCCCCTGACACGAGGTCAGTTTCATAACTGGGTAAGGAGGGGGGAGTGGAATATACGAAAAGGTGAATGTCTTGGAAGGTGTAGGAGGATGAGGTGAGACACAGTGTAGTAAAAAGAAGAGATGTTAGCCCAGAGCCATGCTAAAGCCCGGGGGAAACAACTTTCTGCTTGTTACCAAAGATCTAGTCTGTAGGTGCTCCATTTGGTTTTACAGCAAGAAATAGCTAGAAGTCAAACCAGATGGATCTAAAAGAACTTCCTCCCCTTTATTCATGATAGAGAATGTGTATGTACAGGTGAGAGAGAGAGAAAGATGATGATGAACACTCTTCACAGGGTTTCATCATGCTGCAATCCTCTTGCTCCTGCCCATCGGCTCTTGGTCACAAACTGGTGTGCTTGGCATGTTTTAGGCTGACTGGACCATAGTTCCCATGTGGGATCAACTTCTCTGGAGCAGCATGTTACTTCTGTGCCTTGGAGTTGATTTAAGCGTTCAGAGTTTTATTTTGGAAAGAATTATGTATTTAATTTTTGAATTTATCATTACTATTATTATTAATTGCTATAGGGCATGCATGCTTACCAGAGAGGGATAGAAAGAGAGCAAGAAAGAGGGAAAGTGAGGAAGCAAGTCGCCAGGTCTGGAAGTCAAACTGCATTTGGCCATGTGGGAGTCCAGTGTCCCAAGCACCATGCCACCTGCTGGCCTCATTGTGTTTAGAATTTTTATACCCAGAATGACTTGGAAAATGGAATGACTAAGAAGTACCTTCTGGCGTAATGATTAAGCCTAGTTTTGTATTTCTGGATCAGTATAAATCACATCATCTAGTGGGTTAGATATAAGGAGAGAAGTTATAAAGAAAGACAAAATATGATAAAATGTGTAATTTGGGCCTATTAATGTCTTCCATGTGGCCTCCAGCCTTTCAAGGAGTGATGCTATTGCCACTGTGACTAGGCGGGATATGTGGTCATTGATTAAATGTGCTTTCTTTTTATCATTTTGTTGTGCAAGAAGCATTGAATTTATTAGATACAGTTCTTTCCCTCATGTATTTTATTGTATAACGGGCATTATTTAAAATAATCCCTTATTTTTATGTGTAACATAGATAAAAAAGTTTCTCATATACTATTTTATTTATTCTTCAAAAGCAAATGTTCTCATGTTCTTTATTTGTTCTTCTTTAAGGGTGATGTTATTCCTGTTTTAAAAAATCAGAAAGTTGGTATTATGAAGTTACAGCGTGGAGTCTGGGATCCCAAATTCATTCCTCTGTTAAATGCATGAAATAAAACTTCTGTATGGTTATTCAGGAAGGATGCCATGGAATATAGTGTAATCATACTTTAGGGTTGTATTTTATGAACTATAGTATATGAAAAACTATTTCCCCTCATATTATTTCCGTTTCCCTGTGTTTTCTGTTTTGTCTCGATCAGAGACAATACTTTCCAAGTCAAACATAGTTTCTGCCCTTGTGGAGTTTGACTTTGATTTAGAAGCTAAACACTTTGAGTGTTGTCCAAGATAAAGGCAGTTTTGTCTCAGGACATACCCAAGAGCATTTATTTATCCTGTCCTATTTTCTTTTCGTTTGTGTCTCAAATGGCTTTGTTCACCTTCATTTATGTCTTACTTAGAAGTAACTTCCTACAGAGACCTTTCTGCAGCATCTAGACTGCCTTTGGTCCCCCTTCTTATGCCCGTGAATATTATTTGTTAGTGTTTTAAAAATAATTCACAACATCCTCTATTGTAATTATTGGCATGTCTTTTTCTGTTTGCATTTGTTTCATTCAGTTCTGTGTCTTTAGTGGCTAGTGTGATGCCTGGAACATAATAAGGGCTCAAAAAGTGCATGATGAATGAAGAAAAGCTAAATTCTACTCATTCCTCAGCAGTCACCACCTGGCATGCAATAAAATCTCAGTAACAGGATTCGAACTGTCTTCACAATGGCTACGGCGAGGTTCTTGAATGTATTATAAAAGTGGTAATTCCTCAGTAATTCATGTCTGATAAAAGAGCACAAGTGCTCATGTTCACTGGCTTTTTTAAAAGTTTTTATGTATTTATTTATCTTATTTTATTTTGACCAGAGTGACAGAGAGAGAGAAACAGGGACAGAGAGACAGAGACAATGAGAAAGCAAGCTGCAAGGTCCAGGACTCAAACTGCGGTTGGCCATGTGAGAGTCCAGTGTCCTCAACCACCACACCACCTGCTGGCCCCATGTTCATTGGCTTTTATAGAATGATTAAATGTTTCTAAGTTACAAATCTCTTATTCCACCCCCCCCTTTTTTTAATGGCTAATGGGTGTGTGCACTCCCAGTGAGGAATAGAGAGAGAGAGAAAACTCCCCCCCAATGGGATATGGTCACATGGCAACCCCATTTCTCCACCCTTTCTGGATTTGGGGGAACATATGTACATTTTTCAAGCCAACAGGGCAGAAATTTGAACCCCAGTCAGCTATGTTTAACCTGGCTCCCTTAATTACTAAGTCACAGGACTTGTCCCTACAAATATTTTAGTATGTTCTAATAAGCGATGAAAAATTTAAATGTACCTCCATATACTTTGTTGAAAATTTTATGTAGTTTATAATATAAACAAAAAGTATCAAGAAAATGTACAATTGTGTGCAAGTTAAACTTGGCATATTCAAAATAATAATAGCATAAGCTGTATCTAGGAATTTTAAAAATGTATTTGGATATATTTGCCATAGTTTGTAATTTTGAGAGTATTTCCATTAATTTATAAAGTGTATCTGCTCAAACACAGTCAGGAGTTCTGGAAACCTGAAGTTATTTTTTGTGAGTATAGATGTGAAAAATTAAATAAGTCCTATTATTACGTTTACTAGCATACTATATTTGTAGTATTTTTATGTCACTTTAATGATAAAAATTTGCATTTGTACTCAAAACATGAGATAAATGAAATTTTGATTGCATTGGTTAATGGTATATGTGTTTTTTTAATGTATGGGAATAGGGCTAGCTGGTGGTATGGTGGTTAAGGCAGCTGGATCATTTAGCAGTTTGTCTTAGGCCTGGTGGTTTGAAAGACAATGTCAGGTGTGTGTATACAAAATACCAAGAGAAGAGTGTAGAAAAGGGGATTATGGTGTGGCTATGGCCCCCGGGGGATGCTTTACTGCTTTCTGTCTCTCTCTCTCATTCTGTGTGTCTCTCTGGACAGTGCATACACTCTATAGCAATTTTATATATATGTGTGTGTGTGTGTGTGCGCGTGCGCCTATGTATATATGTGTGTATATATGTGTATGTATGGGAATACATACATATTTATTGAAAAGGAAATTAGACACTCAACAAACTAGGGATATGTATTCTTTTATTTTTATTTATTTATTTTTTCCGGGGGAGAGGTTTTTGCTATAGGGCATGTGCACTCGCCAGACAGACAGAGAGAGACAGAGAAACAGAAAGTGAGAAATCACCCCCCAGGAGGGATGACCACACCGCAATCCCTTCTCCTCTATTCTCCTCTCAGGATCTTGGGCATGCACGCACATGTGCCCGGCGTGAGTTTTAAGCCTTCGGGTCCAGGATGCGAACCGTGGTCTACTACGTGGGAGTCCAGCGACATAGCCATTACACTAACTGCAGGTCCCGGGACATGTATTCTTTTTAATACACGAACATGTTTAACATAAAACAGAGCCTAGAGGTAAAGATAATGATTCAATTGTCGTTAAAAATAGAGGGTGAGGAAGCATGCAACTGTATATACTGAAAAATTCACCCCCCTTGTTTTGCATTTGATTCAATAGAAAGGTAATGGTGACTTTGACGCAGAAAGATACCGATTTATCATGTTATTCCCAGAAGGATATTAATACATTTTCCCTTTTTTCTTTTAGCACACTGATTTATGTCAATACATGGACAAGCATCCTGGGGGACTCCATCCAGAAAATGTGAAGGTAGGAAAAGATCCTTTTTAAGCCAAGGGCTAGCATTCTTGATACGCATTTTTTGAACCAGTATTTAACATCTCCACCATAGCCTCTTAAAATTTTTTTTGAAATGTTGTGGAAATAGAAGTGAAGCATAATCTTTGCATCAGTTTAGTTATTAGAAATCATGTTTTTAACATAAAATATTTTCACTGGAGTATTATTGCTGCACTTATCTTTTTTTTTTAGAGAATTATTTCATTTTACTTTATTTAATTTTATCAGAGAGGGACAGAGAACAAGAGTGAGAGTGAGAGTGAGAGAGAAAGTGAGAAAGCAAGCCACCAGGTCCAGGACTCAAACCACAGTCAGCCATGTGAAAGTCCAGCACCCTTAACCACCAAGCCACCTGCTGTTCCTCCTCTCCCCGACATTTTTTTTTTTTGGAATGAAGAACATTTGAGTGTGATCGGTGGTAAGGGGACACTCAGGTAGTTCTAATTTGGAACTGCATACTGAATACCAGTTGGTTTCAATGAAAGCATCATTATGACCCAAAACAGTGCCATGGTGGGTTCACAGTGTGTTCTTTTGATTTGTTTGTATAAACACATTCTACCTTTTACTGCTCTTTTTTGTATCTTTTACTAGATTATTATATCAAAACAGCTAAGTTTTTCTAAGATTTAAACCAGCAACAATTTTGGAAAATTGTTCCCAATTTTCAAGCTTGAAACTAGAAACTCTTTCTTAGTATATTAAGAGAATTAGAAGATACAACATTAAATTTATGAAAACAATGATGTTTTTATATTTGTCATTTAGATGACTATATTTCATCATCTTCAGAACCAATTGAGTATTATGGATATATCTGAAGTAAAATTATTCATCTCATTTCTTTACATTCATTATCTGTTCCACTCTGCAGCATGACATATGTTTTCTTTTGTAATCTTTTTCTTTTCTTATAGAGGTATATATTTACATGCATTGTATTGTATTTATTTATTTATAAAAATAGTATGTATATGTCATTGTGTGCTATTTTGTTCACTTAAAAGATATTGCAGATATCTTTTCAAATCAATACATGACTATATAGCTCTGTTTCTTTTAAAAATTTTTTAGAATTATTTCTTTAACTTTATCGTTTTTATTTTTTAATTCATCCAGAGAGAGACAGAGAGAGAGAGAAAGGAAAAGGGAGAAAGCAGGCTGCTGGGTCTGGACTCGAACGATGTGAGAGTCCAGCGCCTTAACCATCACACCACCTGCTGGCCCCTTACCTCTGTGTTTCTACTAAATAATTTTCAACTGTTTTTCATTTATGGATCTTTAAGTATTTGCGAGAATGTTGCTATATAAGTGATTCTGGAATAGATAATAGAATTAAGCCTTATATTCTAATTTTCTTTGATTCTCTAGACTCTCTATGTGCCATTAGTTAAGGGCAAGTGATGGTGGAAAATTTTGTTGGTGAAACACAGAAAGAAAGTTCTTCCACAAAATATCAGTATGTTTTCTATCCTCAAGCCAGTATCATTGGTGAATTTTGTTCTATTTTCGCTGTACATTCTGCTTCTTTCATTACATTGTATTTTTTCTTATCTCCTAATAGTTCGAGGGAGAGGGTTCTTTAAGTTACTGTTTCTCAGTGATTAGGTTGTACTTTTTGAAACTGTGTTTCAGCAGCTTTTATTCAAGTTTCACGTTTTGTTTGTTTGTTTGTTTGTTTGTTTTTTATCCCATGGCTATTGATTATAGTTCAAATCCTTAGTGTTTGCTCCCTGTTCCAAGTCCAGTTGCACTGTGGCCATAAACAAGGTTAATATTGCAAGAATTGATGCTTCCTAGGATGTAGTAAGAAACCTAATGGTGAATTAAATGGGTAGTCTGAATAAAAATGTCACAGAAATTAGACATGGCAACCACAGTGTTCAGGTATTAGTTATTTTTTTGAATATCTAAAAGGCAGCAAAATATATTGACAACCTTTTCCACATAGCTAGTGACATCTTTGGTTCCTTGAGGATTTCCTAGAATTTCCTAGACTGTCTCTACTCTTGACATATTTAATGATGTAAGAAACCTCAGTATTCACCTAAAAGCTCTTCAAACTTAATTCTACAGTAGAGTTACCTAGAAAGTTTCTTAAATATAAATGAAGGGTTTATAAAGTTCAGGGAATACACATTTTGGAGGATAAAAATTTATGAGTGCACTTTGAAACTTTTTTGCACCAGAATAAACTTTTATTTTAATTCTTCCCCCCCCCCAACCTTTTGCATTCCCTTCTGGATAGATAGATATCTCTTGTTTTATTTCCCAGAGTCAGAATTGAGTTTAAAAATCTCTTTAAGTAGTAAGTATGGGCATTTATTTAGACTTAGGAATGAGAACCCAGGTTGTATCCCATGATCCACAGCATATGTTCACTCTCCCTGTGACCCTGTATGGCTTTAAAGACCACCACTCCTTCCCCCTACTGGGCTGCAGGTCATTTGTACTTGCCAGCAATCCTGGCCTCTCTTTTTTTCACAGACCTGAAGGCTCTTTCAGTGGGCATGGGCATGTTCCAGAATGAAATGGGAAGCGGGAAAATTGGGAACAGGAGAAACCTAAGGGACTCGTCCTGGCCTGGGGTGCTTAGGAGAACAGGTGTGTTGGCCCAACCACCATGGTAATACAACACTTTGCAGTGTTGGAAACCATGTGGAAAATAAGGATTTGGTGCACAAGGCAACTTATACAGGTACACACCTGTGTGCTCATGTTTCTGACTGACTGAGAAGACTGAAGGAAGGAACACGACTTGGGAACCTGTTGAATAGAAAATTTTGTTGGTGAAACAGAGAGAGAAAAGTTCTTCCACAAAATATCAGTATGTTTTCTATCCTCAAGCCAGTATCGTTGGAGAATTTTGTCCTATTTTTGCTGTACATTTCTCTATCTCTCTCTGAAAGAAATAAACTTTAAAAAAGAAAAAAAGAAAACAGGTGTCATGCTTCAAGTAAGAAGATTGTAAGAGTCTTCTGCAGATAATCTGTTTGGTCCAAGAGACCAGGCCTAAAGAATCCAAGCAACTCTACAGTGAAGACTCCATTCAGTAAATAAGTAACTTGCAGAAAGCAACATAGCTTGCATTGAATAAAAAGGAAAAGATAGGGAAAAAACTTTATCATGAATATTCTTAGGTAAAGAAATAATGCATCCACCAAACAAGAATCTTGTATTATTTTTTAAAAGCAGAATTTGGTGAACAAAAAGGAGCTCTCGGAAATTGAAAATGTAAGAAATTAAAAACAACATTAGAAGATGGAAGTTAAAATTGAAGAGATTTACCAGAAAATAGAGCAAAAATATACAAAGATGAAAAATGAGAAACAAGGTATGAAAAAATTAGCAGTCCAGTCCAGAAGATCCAACATGCAAAAAATTGGAGGAAAAAGAGGAGGGAATTATTAAAGTAATACTCATTAAACTGTACTTAAAAAAAATAGTAAGAATGTAAATTTTTTTTTCTTTTTTTTATGTAATTTTCTTCTCCTTCTCCTCTTTCTTTTTTTTTTCTCTTTTATTTGCCAGAGGGCATATGTTCTCACCAGAGAGAGACAGAGAGACAAAGGGTGAGGGAAAGGGAGACTGAGGCCTGTTCACATCACAACTTTTATTTTCTCCAATTTTCTATCCCATCAGGATCCTGGGCATATACACCCACATCCAACCTGTGAGCCACCAGGGCCAGGGCTGGTGGACCCTGGCCAGACATGTTGAATCAAGCTCGCCTGCACAGTGCTTAGTTGCTGTGTCACAGAATCAGCCCTGAATTTTTAGATCAGAGTGTCCATTGAATACCCTGAATATTAAATGAAAATAGATAGAAAATAATGCATTTTCTTGTAAAATTTCAGAAACTGAGTAAAAGAAAGTCCTACAAAAAAGGAAGCAGTTTTACTACAGGAGATCAAGAATTATAATGACAGATACGTGTTTTAACAGCAATGTGAAAGAGAGAGAGCAGTGGGGCAATATATTGAAAATTCAGATGTAGAAATGTTTTCTACCTAGAGTTCTATACAAACTAACACTGAACCATGAGGGTAAAAGAATTGTTTTCCACAGTGCAGGGTATACAACATTTTTGTACATCCTTTCTCAGGAAGATGCTTGAAAATGCACTCTAGGGAACCAGCAGTTAGCATAATGGCTATGTCGCTGGACTCTCACGTAGTCGACTGTGGTTCGCATCCTGGACCCGGTGGCTTAAAACTCACACTAGGCGCATGTGCATGCATGCCCAGGATCCCGAGAGGAGAATGAAGGAGAAGGGATTGCAGCGTGACCATCCTCCCTGGGGGGTGATTTCTTGCTTTCTGTCTCTCTGTCTCTCTCTGTCTGTCTGGCGAGCACACGCGCCCTCTAGCAAAAAAACCTCTCCTCCCCCCCAAAAAAATGCACTCTACTAAAACTCAGGGAATAAATCAAGAGAAGATGAAGAAACCAGGTAACAGAGTCTACCACAGGAAAGAGGAAAGAAAACACTCATAACAGTGATGGAGAGGATCCTAGGGTAACAATTTTGATTCAGGCTAGGAAGGTAAGCCAGACAGGCCAGAAGTCTACAGAAGAGACAACAGGAAGACAAAATTGTGAGACAGAATGTTTGTGTTTGAGTAGATTTATTTACAAGATGGGAAAAGTGTTTGGTGTTGAGGGCCAACCACGGTGGTTAAGTGATAACACAATAATGTTCCACAGTGCTGGCCCTCTTGGGAAGGTCTTGGGTTCATGTCCTGGGGTCTTCCTGTGCACACACAGGGCACCTGTGCATGTGTTGTAATCCGGATAGGATGAGGCTAGATGTGGATTGTAGCACACAGATCCTGTTGGGGATGCCCCATTTCTCTCTCTGTCTTTCTTTCTCTCTCTCAGCAGAGATCAATAAAAGTACTCAAAATTCTATACAAAAATTAAAAGTGCATGTGTTGAGAACCACAAAGGAAAAGGAAAACAAAGAACAAACA